TCAGCATTAATATCACGAGATAATAACACTGCAAAAATGGGAACATCTTCCGACATCTTAGGTCTGCAGTGCAGGATCAGACCGATGACTCAACCTGCTTTGAAAGCCTTCAGAAATGAGATCCTGAAGTTTGGGCTGCTGCTCAGACATGAAAGGGAGTTCATCAAAAACATTCCCCAGCAGTAAAGTTACCCGGTTCAGAACCACCGCAAGCAGCTGCCTTTTCATCTTCTGCCTCAATTAAATGTAAAGTAGCTCTCTTTCTCTGAACATTTAACTTCAGTGAAATCCAAGGAAGAAAAAAAAAAATAGAAGAAAACCACTAAGGGGCATTGGACAGAGCGGCCGCTAAGAGCAGCTCCACCTCAGCACAGCACCTCTGCCTGCCCCCAGCTCACATCCCACTCAATACGTGTACCCATTATTCCCCCCTCCGTGTATTTCTGCACAGCAGTGACCCCAGAGCTGCTGAGGAACGGTGCCCAGCCCTGCCTTCCTGTGGAGCAGCTGTAGGTGCAGCACTACAAATGGGAGCACTACTATTAAGGAATCAGCTGCACAATGAAAGCACTGAGGACACTTGTCTTACAGAGAATTCCTTGCCAAGCGCTGCCAGCCTCAGCTCTCCGTTCTCTCCGGGCCTCCAGCCAGACTCTAATCATTTTGGGTCCCTTCTCATTTTCAGCTGTGTGACACAAAGGGGCAGCGTGGGCCGGCCGCTGCTGGAGGATACTTTTATTGACTATGTGAAAAAAGGAACTGCTGCCACCCCTAATGCAGACAGAGACATTATGATCTCCTGAGAAGGGAAAGAACTTCCCCTGTGCCCCCACAGGGCTGCCTGCCAGCATTCCTGTACCAAAGGGACCCGCCTGCACTATCAAAGCACTGCACCACCAAGGCTGGGCCAGGCAAAGGGCACTGCTCCCACCTGAGCTTTTGTTTATTTTAGTTTTTTAATGAAGAAAAACGTTCCAGAAGCACTGCTACACGAGTGACACCCCCCGATGCTGAGGCTCACAGCAGACCTTAGAAGGGCAGCACTGTGCAGTTGTGGCAGTTATCCTCCAGCTTAGAAACAAAGGAGTCACTTTTTCTAATGGCTACAGAGAGCACCTGGATAACCACAGAGCCTTCAGCCTCAGCTACATACATCGATCACCCCCTGGATCAGAACCCTCAGCCCCTCACTGAAGCATAACAGCACCTTTGGATACACACAGAACACAGCATTCCCCCCTCACTTCCTACCTGTGTCCCAGCAGAGCAAGCAGCCTCTGCAGGCATGCTGAACTTAATTAAGGTGCGTTATAACCAGCCAAGAGCAGCACATCACAGCCTTAAAAACCTTTCCGCTTGGCCAGCTCCAACCAGCTGTACTCAACGAGCTTTTAATCAGCGCGTTGCCCACAGGCAGCACCTAAAGGAAGGAGCCAAATGCCCCGTGCTTCTACGGACCACAGAAATCCGCTCTTTGTGTATCTGAGGCTCTGCTGAATCCAGCACCGCTTGGAAGAACTGGGAGATCTCACTCTGCGTGCAGCTATACCCCCACCCCCGCCCATGGGATACGTGCTCTGCACCATCCACGTTTTGTTCCGAGGCAGACTGTATTAATTAACACTTAGATCCGTCACAAAACCGCCCCGCAGCCTCCCAGGCAGGCAGCCACAGAACAGCCCAAGGACGCTCCGAGCACAAACGCGCCCTATCTGCGCTGTTGCAGGGCGAAGTCGATACAAAGTGCCCCCAGACGGCTCCGTCTGCTCAGGACAGAGCCTGCAGGAACCCACGTGCAGGGCCTGGAGTCAAGAGCCTGCACCCAGCACGTCCCCACGAGCACCGCGTGGATCCCCGCAGGTCCGCTCCGCAACACAACACACGGGATGGGGCTGCGCCGTTAACCCCGATTCCCCCGCAATCCCACCGCCCGACCCACAGGGCCGCAGCCATCGGCCCGCCGCCCCCAACCCGCGTGGCCCCGCCGCTCTCGCCCCGCGCTGCCGGCCCGGTGGAGGCCCGCTGCTGCCGCCGCTCCTACCTGCGGGCCGGGCCCTGGCTGCCGGCGGAACCCCAGCGCCGGGGAGGCGGGGGCGCACGGAGCGGGGAGCGCCGCGCCCCGCCTTGTCCCCGCGCGGCCAATGGGAGCTCCGCCCTCTTCGTTCTCTTCGCTCCTATTGGCCGCGCAGGGGTAAGGCGGGGAACGGCAAGAGTTTTGACCAATGGGACAGCGAGGCCTGGCGGAATCCCAGAGCCGGGGATGGGGTGGTGCGGCCCCGCCCGCACTTCCCGCGAGAGCACAGCGAGGGGGCGGGGCTTGTCACAGACCAATGGGGGGGGCGGGCGGGCTGAGGGCGCGGCCTATTGGCTGCGCGGTACCACGCCCCTTAGTGCGTGCACGTGGCGGCGCGGGCGCGGGAGGACGCGGGCGAGGCTTTAACCCTTGCGGCGCCGGGAAGATCAGACGTATAAACAGGCTTTTTTTCCCCACAATTAAACTAATTGCATTTTTTTTCCTAATCCGGAAAAAAAAGTTTATCAGGATCAGGACATTCATTTTCCAGCTGTGGAACTGACACTTTCTGTTTGTATTTTGTTGTGATGCAGGAATTCCCCTCTTTTCCAGGGCTCCATTCATTACATGCACTCCTTTTTAGACCTGCCCACGTCTGCAATCCTGCAATCTTGACCTTTTGCCAATTTTGCCATATCAATAAGAGCACTTACTGCATGAACTGAACATCACCTGTTCCTATTCAGCACTCCAGACCCCAAATTCCCATCTCTACTTATGGCACAGCTGCTGAGGTTCCCATTGCTGCTGTAGCAGCAGATCTCCAGAGCTGGTTTGCTTTGTGCAATAGGACTTGGCTGTCCAAAGGCCAGATCCTGCCCAGGTCCGCCCTCTGTGACCCTTTGCACAATGGTACACACAGCTTCTTGCAAAGGAAGATAATGCACTGCAGTGCATATAAATAGAGCTTAAATGATGTGGTTGCAATGCTGTTGTAAATGTGTGCGTTGCAATTATTGCCTTGTTCAAGATTACCTGCTCCTGCACAGGCTCACTGAGCTCTGTCTGGAGCTGGGGGAGTGACCTTTCACTGATTTTACATTAACAGAATAAGAAGACTCTCAGCAGTGCCTTAATTAGAACATCATCTTCATTACTCATTAGCAGACCCAGGAAGGTAATTACAATCGGCCCAGCATTGCCACGAGACCTCCACTGTTTTACACTGTGGTTGCAAGGCGCAAGTTTTGGCCTTGCATTCTCCAGGATAAATGCAAGGAAGTCTCAGCACTGCTGCACAGGATGGCCATAGGACCATAGAATGGCCTGGGTTGAAAAGGACCACAATAATCATCCAGTTTCAACCCCCTGCTGCGTGCAGGGTCACCAACCATCAGACCAGGCTGCCCAGAGCCACATCCAGCCTGGCCATGCCATGGCCCAGGCTGAATGGTGTGCAGTGTGCATCACTGCTGCTCTTTAGCAGACGTTTAGGAAAGGGATGGATGCTGACCTTGTGCTGCATTGCGTGGACCGATGGCGGGGATGCGCTGCACAGAGCCCTCAGATGCTGCAGCTCTGCAGGGCAGGATCTCTCCTCTGGAATTGGCCCACAGATTGTTCCCATGGTGACACGAAGATGCACACTGCTCTTTTGTCTCAGTTATTCATCAGTCCTGTTTGTCACACACTGTGAAAACAAAATCACGGGGTGAAACACAAAAAGATTTGAAGATACTGGGGCTCATTGCTCCTGGCTTCCCCTCTTTTTGCACAGAGGCTTCGTGCCACAGGAGCCAGCAGCCTGGCACTGCCACATGTCACAATTGCACTCTCCCTTTCCTCCAGGAACCACCCCTGATTGTTTTGGTGCCGTGTCTGAAAGTAACCCCAATGTCCTCAAAGCACACAGCAAACAAGTACCACGGATACTGTTGTTCCAGTGCTGGGTAAAGGATTTCGGCTGGGGCCCCACACACCACAATGCATTTAAATAGAGCTTAAAAGCCGTGGTCCTGACGCCAGTGTAAAAAAAATTTACATTGCAATTATTATCTCGTTGCAGATGAGCTGCCGTGCTGCTGAAATCCTTTATTTCACACAGCCCCACGTCGGGACGTTTTTCCCCCTCAGACTTCTCCTGAACCAGGCCCAGAGCTGATGATTCATGTATTAATATGTGGTTATTAGATGACTCCCCTACCTCCACGGCTGCTATCTGTCTTCAGCAATGGAGGAAGGAAATGAATTCTTAAAACCTCAGGAACAAATGGTACACGCATGGAGATCAATCCTCCTCCCGCTGACGTCAATGGAAAAATTTCCATCGGCCTCAATAGGAGCAGAATTAGCCATATATATCAGACACTGGTGTAATTTACAACCCCACAAACATCAATAGAGCCGGAGGGGGAAAGTTGTGTCTGTTAAAAATAGCTCGTGGGAATTAAGTGACAGTCAATGATGCTTCAGTTTCATGGGGACAGAGAAGTGCTGGGCTGTCTATTGGACGCACAGTGATGCTCGCTGTGGTGATGCTGATGGCACATCTGTGGGTCCAGCTCTGCACCTGGTGGTGGTATGGCTGGATGGGATCTGCTGCTGGAGCCTCTGCACATGGGGAGCCCCATGGCACCAGGGCACGTGGGGCTGAGCTGAGGGCACACACACAGCATTCACCCTGTTGCCCACAAAGTGATCATTGCATCGATGGAATGGGGAGGAAGGAGGAAGAAAAGCCCCAGGCATCCTCTGCTGATGGCAGCACTTAGGTACAGGTGCTGCTGAGAGCCCAGCGCTCTGGCAGCAGAACTGGAAATGGCAAGAGAAAGCACAGAAAGCAATGATGTCCTTCCAGCACCGCCAAAACCTCCATCACCAAAACCATCATTGGTCATCACTACCACCACCACCACATCTCTCATCAGCATCACTACCACCACCACCATCATCATCGCTACCATCACCACCATCATCACCTCCATCACCAAAACTATCATCATCGTCGTCATTTACATCACCACCACCACCTCCCAGTGGAAGTGACTGGGATCACGCTGCCACCAGCCCCTCCAGCTGCACCCCAGAGATGCCCACCACCAGGAAGCTGCTGCCCCAACCCCCAACCAAACCTTCTCCCTGTGCTTTGAGCCTCTGCTTCCTCTTGCCCGTGCCTTGGCTTGGGATGAAGGCTGCAGCCCCTGTGCAGCTGTGTGACACCCTGGCCCACAACATGACCCCATCCCCGCCCCACCAGGAGATGAAACAAAGCATCCACAAATGGCCACCGGCCCCTAATTAGAAGCCACCAGCTAACGAGATGTTATCCAAAGCAAATATTAGGAGCTGCCTAATAGTTATATCAATGAAATCAACAACAATTTAACAGCAAAGGTTAATTGCATTTATACAAAAATCTGATAGACAAAACGATGCTCAAACAGTTGGGCAGACTAATTGAAAGCTAATGTTGCTCCTAAATTGAATTTCAAATGAATTTTACATCCATAGCTCATTTTGCTAATTTCATTCCCCGTATCCTGTAATTTGTTGGCAGTGATTGATTACTTAAGTGAATAATATCTATGTACCAGGGCTGCTTGGCGATGGAATGCCGTGGCTGCTGAGAAATCCTGTTCCCTGCTCCAAGGCAGAGCCCAATGGACATCCCCCATTGCCTGCAATGGAGCCGGCGCCTCAGCGTCTCTGGAGCATCCGCTGCTGTGAGATGAAGGCAATGACATCTCAATAAAAGAATTGAATCTTTGGAATGATGTTGTTGGGTTTTTTTGTTGTTGTTGTTTTTGTTGTTGGGTTTTTTGTTTTTTTTTTTTGCATCCAACCAACAATTAGTGGTTGCTACGCTACAGCCGGAGCGTAATTGTTGTAATGAAGGCAGCCAAGGGAAGGCATTAATCAGAGAGAGATGTGATTAGCCCACCTCCAGCCCTATCCAGAGCCTCCTGTTGCTTTTCTGGTGCAGATTCTGGGCTCTGGATTTGGGGAACATCCCAAACTATGGGCTCAGCATCACTTGCAAGCATCAGTTCTGGGGTGTGTGTGGCCCTGCTGGCCAGGGGCCATGCACACCCCAAAGGATGCTGTCAGCTCCACCCCCTGCCCCTCAAATCCATCCCAGCAAGCCCCTAAACACAATTGCAAAAGAAGCACACGTGCATATGCAGGAAGCTTCCACTCGCAATGCCATCCAGTTGTGCATCGATGGAGATTTGGGTGTATTTTAGGCTCAGCATGGAAGACAGCTCTAAAAGGACCACAACACGATGGATACGATGTTATCCCAATTACCATCAGCCCCTCACTGGGATGGATGGGATGCAGGACTGGGAAGCATCCTGGTTGCCAGCATCAGTTGTGATTTCCTTGGCCATGGCTTGGAATGGTCAGATTTGCTGCTCTGGGCCCCCTGGACAGCCCCGAAATCTCTTTTTTTCCACCCAAAGTGCAAACAGCAGCAGGACTGGGGTTCCTGGGGGCGGCGGGCTGAGCCCCCCCGGTTTCCCCGCTGCTCGCAGCCCAGACCGGGAGATGTCCATTCACTTTACCGGAGCTGCAGTGCCCTCATGTGGCACCGCTCCTCCACCCGCAGCACATCCATCCATCCCCAAATGCTCTAGGAAACCACTCCTTGCCCCCCAAGACCCCACAAGGATGCTCCAGGACACCCACGCCTTCTGTCCCCTAATGCTCCATACCCCACACACAACCCCTACAGACCCATGCAGAGGACTGCAGGACCCCATTCTCTCACCTGTGTCACCCCTCCTACCCTCCCCATCTCCCCACTGTGACGGGGAGTGCACTGTGCACTGCAGGACCAAGGCACAGGAGATGCCACGCATCACAGCAGTGCCATCAGCCCCGAGCTCAGCCCCTTCCCAGCGGGTTGGGAAGGGTCACCCTGCAGCGAGGATGGTGATGGTCTTTAGAAGTTCTCCTTGAAGAAGCGGAAGCCGAAACGCTCGCAGTGCGCTCTGACCACTTTGGCCAATGCTGGCGAGCCACAGAAGAACACATGCACCTTGCCCTTCCTCTCCTCTGCCACCCTGCCCAGCACCTGCAAGGGAAGGGAAGGTGCCAGGTCTGTGCTGCTGCTGGAAGTGCCCAGCAAGGCTCTGTCCCTCACCTGGCTCCAGTCAGGGCGGCCGGGCTGCGTGCGGGTGCGCAGCCCCGTGATGGAGTCCTTCTGCTCCTTGGCGGCCAGCAGGTCCAGGGCCAGCTGCAGCCCCACAGCCTTCACATCACTCCTGCCCAGCGCTGATGTCATGTACAGGTGCAGCTCCAGGAAGCGCCCTGGGCACAGTGGAGGGACCCGGCTGTGCCTCAGGATGGATCTGGGATACCCTGGGCTGATTTGGGGTTTGGGATGCTCCACATCCTGCTCACCTCCCGGCTCCTGCTCCTCCTGCTGCAGCTCCAGCGCAGCCAGCAGGTCAAGGAACCACTCAAAGTGCTGCTGGTCCCGGTTAATCCAGATGAAGTCAACCTGGAAGGATGCAGCCTCCATGTCAGGGCAGGCTGGCAGCACGTGGGACACAGCCAGCCGTGGGATGTGATGAGAGCCTGCATCTCCAATGGGATGAGATGCTCTGGAAGCCTGCATCTCATATCCTCTCCCTATGGAATAGGAGCCTGCATCCCACATCCCCCCTGCAAACCCCACAGCCTGCTCCCACCTTTCTGAGTGCCATGTCCTCATCCCACAGAGTCTCACGTCCTGGGCAGCTCTGCTTCCTCTGACGGTACCTGCATGGGTGGATGCAGCCCTTGTCTGCACCCCTTGCACCCTGAGCACCCACACAGACCCCAAGCCTCCGTCCCCCCCAGCCCCACAGCAAACGCCCTGCCCGAAATCCCGAGTGAAGGTTAACCCCAAAGGCAACACAGTGTAGGGCCCTGTGTCTGCATGTCCCATGTTTAGCAATAAGGAACTGCAGCCCTGAGCGCGTGGCACAGCCCCAACCTGTACATGATGCTCTGCAGGATGGAAGCAAAGGGTGTGATGCCAATGCCAGCACCGATGAGCACAGCATGCTCTGAGGTGAAGATCCGGCGAGTTGGGGTCCCGTAGGGGCCATCAATGTAGCACTGGGAGAGATAGAGGCTGAGCACCCAGAAACAGGGTGACAAACCCAACACCAAAGCAGGATGCTCAGCCCTGGGCAGGACCAGCACACAGGACAAAGCCCCTTCCCAGCTCCCACCCCGCTGCGCCCGCCCTGAGCTCACCTTGATGCTGCAGAGCTGCTGGTTCTCACCCAGCTCCACAGGAACCTGCAGATATGGAATGTCCATCAGCAGCAGTGGGCGGCTGCCTCCTCCCTGCTCCCACAGCTCTGCATCCAGCATTTCCCATAGCCTGGCTCCCAGCTGCTTTGGGGTTGTTTTTTCCCCAGCTGTGCCCATCAGACCCCAGAGCTGAGCCCAGTGAGAGTGAAGGCTGATGGACCCCAATCCCAAAGCCATTGGGGCAGTGACACCATATAGTAGTGACACCATATGACAGCGAGGTTCCTCCCCTGCCATGTGGACATCTGAGGGGTTTGGAGGCTGTGCTGGCACCAACCACCTGCAGGGACGTGTCCTGATCCCTGTCCCCATCCTCGGTCCCTCGGGTGGTGGTGGGCGCCCCACTGCGTCGGTACGATGTCAGTTCAACGGCTGCATCCCCAGTGCTGGGCACAGAGCATCCCAATGTGCCTGGGGTAGTGCAGGGAGTGGGCTGCATGGGAAGGGGAAGGGAAAAGTAGGGAGAGAGGAGGGGAAATGAGAGGAGGAGTGAAAAAAGGGGGAAAGGGTGGGAAAAAGGGGGAAAGGGAAGGGGAGAGGGAAAAGGGGAAGAAAGGGAGAAAAAGGGGGGAAATGAGATGGGAAAGAGAGGAAAGAAGGAAAAGGTGGAAAAGGGAAGGAAAGAGGAAGGAAAAGGTAGAAAAAAAAAAACACCTGTCACTGATTTTTATTCTTTTGTGGAAAAGCCCAGCCTGTGCTGTGTGCTCCTGGGCTGCTGGACCCACAAGCACTGCCCTCACCCTGCCATGCAGATGGCACATTACAGGCTTTAACCTTACCCACCTGCACCCACTGCCACCACCTCTTCCTTTCCAGGTTCCCGTGGAGCTGCAGGGGCTCAGCCTGCCTGAAGAACTCATAGAGCCGCGTTGTCCACTGCCCCAGAGAGCGGATGTGCAGCCAGATGGTGTCTGTGGGATGGGGACATCACAGTGGCACAAGGGCTGGAGCACAGCATGCCCTGGGCACCAGGCACCCCTGCACCAGAGCAGGGGGGGGATGGAGGTGGGATGCTCATGGGATGCAGGACATCCTGGCCATGAGAGAAGCCCCAATTTGGGCTGCCCAGCAGACCTTGCTGCTCAGGAGCACTGCTGATGCTGAATGGGTGCCATTCATAAGCAGCAATGGCTGGGATGTTCAGGTAGATGTAGTCCCCAGGCTCGTAGCGGAAGGAGCGCGGCCGCTGGATCACCAGGTGGGTGACCTGGGTTGGGAGGAGCAGAAAGCATTTAGGCAGTAATTTACCAAAGAAATGGTGTTTTCACCTTTTGCTGCAAACGTTCACCAAAACATTGCAGATTTCCTGAATGCTGCCAAGTGACCCCAAAACACATCTCTGTACAGTTGAATCTGAAGACTTTACCCAACCTTACTGAAGCCAAAGGAAGGAGCAGTGCTGTGATGCAGAGGAAGGGATGCAGAGCCCCAAGTCTCTCATGCAGGGCTGGAGGAGCACGACCCCAACCTACAGGGCCCTTTGTGCACACCACAATTTGGGCCGCACACCTGGGAAGGCAGCAGGTGGACCTCCACGATGCGCAGCCCCATGGCACGAGACACGGCCATGCCCACTGCCTTCTCCAGCACAAAGAGGCCCCCAGGAACCAAAAACCACTTCCAGAAGTTGGGAGCATGGAAGAAGAGCAGAGCCCAGACAGTGATGTAGGAGAGGTGGCTCCAGTAGAAAAGCTGTGGGCAGGGGATGCGGGTCAGCAGGGTTGGGCTGTACAGGGCTCAGTGCCCCCTGTGCCACAGGACGGGGCACCTTTGGGGTGTTTGTGTGCATTTACGTACCTCGAAGTGTCCACCACGGCGGACGCAGGGGCTGGAGAAGGTGAGCATGGCAAACAGCAGCACCTGCAGGGCCAACCCGGTCTGTGGGGCTGTGCCACCGAGCCCCCCCCCACCGGGACGAGCCGTCAGCAGGAACTCGGAGAGGGCGCCGTGCCCAGCCTGTGCCAGCCTGCCTGCAAGCAGAACAGCGGTGAGCAAGGGCTGAGTAGCTGCGTACGAAGGCACAGCTGGGTTTGCTCAGATATATTGAAAACGAAACGTTTGTCGTTGTGCAAAAATGCCACGCGAGGGCCGCAGGAAACCCAGGCACCCGAGCTCCTGGTGCGGGGGGACGAGGGAGGGGGTAGGAAAGGTCTGCAGGCCCCGCTGTGACGCTGCCCGCCTGGGAGAGCCGCTAGAGGGGGATAGCAGGCAGCGCACGAAGCGAGCATCTCCAACCCCAACCCAACCCCAACCCCAGCGCCCGCCCCACTCACCGAAGTTGGCCACGTGCGCTCCGGTGTGCAGCACTGCCAGCGCCAGCACGGCGCTCCCCAGCAGCTGATGGAGGCTCACGCAGTGCTCGAGCGGCAGCGCTCTGCCCGCGGGGGTGGCACGCAGCCGGGTCAGGCACCGCCGCAGCATCGGCACCTGCGGGGCAGGGGCGGTTCGGGGGCTGTAAGGACGCCCAGCGGCGTCACCCCGCCGTCTCGATCCCCATCCCCACGGCCCGGAGTCCGCACTCACAGCGATGAAGGCGCAGCTGAAGTTGAGGCACTGCCCGCAGCCTCTGGCCACCACCACCCACCCGCTGCGGCCGACGTGCTGCAGGGCAGCCAGGATGAAGAGCAGCAGGTTGAGGCTGACGTAGCCCCCCAGGAAGGCGAGCTGGCCGCGGCGGTTGTGCCAGTACCACGAAGTCAGGCAGCGCGGCCGCCGGCTCTGCCGTGTCGGTGCTGGGGGCTTCAGCCAGCTGGCAGCGCTGCCAAGGCACCGCATGGCATCCCGCATCCAACCCTGCACCTATCCGGGCACCGACCCTGCATGCATCCCTGCATGCAAATCCTTTACCCACCGTCCTGTTACCCCAGCCATTCACCCACATCCCTGCTTGTAGCAGGGGGTTGGAACCGGGTGATCTTCAAGGCCCCTTCCAACACAAACCATCCTATGAACACAATCCATCCCAGAACCCATCCCTGCATCCCAGCTCCTCACCCACCCTCGCACCACATCCCATCCCCAACCCATGCCCAAGTGCTGCGGCCACCCCAGCACGCTGCTCCTGAGCAAAGGGACAGGATTGAGATGCCCTCAACAGCACCGCAGGGCACCCTGCTCTGCTGGAGAGCAGCCCTGACTGCTCCTGCTGTGGGCCTGAGAGCCTCCACAGAGCACAAACCCCACAGCACAGCAGGAGGGAAGAGGGAAGAGTGCCCTACAGACCCGGCCACATCCCTATACCTGATGGTCAGGCTCTCCATCAGCCCTGGGAAGGCCTCCAGCTGCTGCTGCAGCTCCTGGAAGGTGATGGAGCCGTTGCCATCCCTGTCGGCCGCCTCGAGCAGCGCCCTGGCCATGTCGTGCAGGCGCTGTGGTGGCAGTGAGATCTCGCTCTCACGCAGGCAGGCCTGCAGCACCAGGAGCAGCTCAGCTGCGTCGATGGAGCCGCTGCCTGCAGGGAGAGCAGCACCACCTCACAGCCCGGCCCCAAACCCCTCCACTGCAGTGCCACCCCCTCCTGCCTGAAGGGACGGCTGTGCCCACTCACAGCGATGCCATCGCTCCTTCACCAGCACATTGGTTTTTGGGAATTGGAGAGAATTCTGATCTAAAATTCATTCCCATTCCGATGCTGCCATGGGGCATCTCTCCACAAGCAAAGCTAATGAGGCTGCTGCATTTGCTGCCTTACAGATGGATGCTACTCCCATCCCAACAGGACAAAAGAGCAGCATTCAGGGCTGGATGCACTGAGCCACCCTCTCACCATCGACGTCGTAGACTTGGAAGAGGAAGCGCAGCTTGTCGGCAGCAGTGCCGTGCAGCAGCAGTCTGAGGGCACTGTGCAGCTCCCCCAGGCTGATGGTACCGCTGCCATCCACGTCAAACAGCGCGAAGAAACGCTCAGCAAAGAAGGACTGTGGAGGATGGATGTGCTGGGGCAGCTCTGGGATGCTCTGCACAGCCCAGACCTTGTACTGCAAAGTGAGCTCCTGCTGCCAGCAGTGCTCACCCCACCGATCAGTGGAGATCAGTGCAGGGCCCAGCACTCACCTCCTTCACCTGAAGGGCCGCCTTGAACTCCTCCAGGCCGATTTCCTCACCCTGCCCTGCAATGCTCTGGAACCGCTCCGTCACCCAGCGCAGCCACGCTGCGTCCTCAGCTGTGCTCATGGTGCCAGGAGCCTGCAGGGCGAGCAGTGGGATGGGGACAGCTGGGAGCACTGGTGCCCTCGGGGAGCCCCCAGCCATCCTGTTGAGCCTCAGAGCACAGGGGATGGCACCCAGCGCTGCCAAGCATTGCAATCTGCCCAGCTGTGCCGAGCCGCTTTGCTATCGCCACATCTCACCTGCAGAGCTATGAACCACAGAGGCCCAAACCCACACTGCTCACCTTCAGTCAGATGCTGGATGCAGCTCTCATTCCCAGCGCTCCTCAGCAGCTGCTGCTCAGCCCCAGCGCTCTCCCCGAGGAGCTGCAGCCCCTTCATACCCTTTTAAAGGCTGATGTGAATTCAGTCCTGCTGAAGCTTTTCACGTCAAATTAAAACAAAAAATGGATTTCAACGGAACCATTAAGGAGCATCTGGCTGTGACGTTCCCATAATTACCTCCTTATTTTAGAACTGATCTGACACTGCCTTACGGATCTCCACCGAAATACTCTGAAAAAATAAAAGGGCACATTTGGTTCTCTGAAGGCAGTGATCCAACCATTGGCCCAAGGCACCGCAGACCATTGGTTCTCTATTCAAAATGCATTCACTGCTCCTGACTTCCCTGCTCCGCAGCCTCAGTGACCCATGGCAGGAACATGGGCTGCTAACTTCCATTGGGCAGAAGGAGAAAAAGGCTAAGGAAATATTTTAACCAAATATGCCAAACTTTAAACATAATCCTGGTATGAATCCATTCTAATGGAGGAGGACATCCTGGATACTGAACTCAAAACCACACAGGTGAACAGATCGAATTCAAAGGTGCCTTTATGCCAAAAGAAAAGTGAGCTCCCATCTCCAGCCCTGAGCCCGTGCAGAGGGCTGAGCTTCAGGGAAGAGCAATAGCTGACAGAAGCTTTCTAGGAATTTAACTGAAACCAACAGAAAGAAAACAGACATAATATACAGCTCCACAAATCTGGCAACCAGCAGCAGGAAATAAAAATAGCACCAGTACAAACTTGCTTTCCAATGATCAGAAATGAAAATATGTCCGCCTAAAAGCAAAGAAAGAGAAAGAGGAATTGTTGGAGCCGATTTATTATCATCACATTTGCACAGAACACTGTGTGTAACTGATAACACTCCACATGTGACTGCCTTGGGTGGCCATCTCTTGTACGCCCACAGGAACCACTGCAGTTTGGAGCAGCTCACTGAGCAACCTTCATCATCATTTCGCAGTAAGTTTGGAGTTCTGAAACTTGAATGTGTTTGGTTTTTTTTTTGTTTTTTTTTTTTAGCATGGCTTCTTCAAGAACACTCTTTAAAGATGTCACTGAATCCATTCTTTAACTGATCAAGAATGTCATTCTCCCTTTTTGCACCCCCAGTCCGCAATGCTGATGCCAGCTCTGCCATGGCTGCTGCCAGCTGTGCAGACTCAAACCCACACAAAGCAACAGAAACATCTGGCTGGGGCAGAGGGGATGGCGTTGCTGGCACAGCAGCTTTCCTTCTCACCGTGCCCCTCACCAGCTCTTTTTGCTTTCCAGCCCTCCTTCTGCATGCTTGTAGCCAAGGAGCAGTGGTGGTATTGCTGGGGGTGGCTGCTCCTGCTGCGTGCTGAGCTCCTCGTGCAGCGTGGTGCAGAACAGCCAGCAGGTGCCCCAGGGTTTCATCCTTTGCTGTTACTCGTGGCCTGGACAGGGCTGTCCCAGATGCTGTAAGAGAATTAAATGGCTTTTACAGTTGTGTAAATGGTGTGAGTATGTTTGCTTTGCTCACCCCCCAACCTACATCACCAGTAACAAACTTCAGTACAAATGCACTTTTGCTAGAATTATTGTACTCTTCATGTTTACAGAAGATATGTTAATGCTGCCATACGAGGTGGTATGCTTTCCTGAATGGGTGAATAATTAAAGGCGCACAAAGGGAAACACATCAAAGGCAAAACCTACCATACAGTAACTGCTCAACCTAAAACCCTTCACGTTATCTCCTAATTCTGTGTTTTCTGAGATACCAACGATGGCAGATCACAGAATCACACAATGGCCAGGTTGGAAGGGACCTCAAGGATGATGAATCTCCAACCCCCTGCCACAGGCAGGGCCACCAACCTCCACATTTCACACCAGCCCAGGCTGCCCAGGCCCCCATCCAACCTGGCCTTGAACACCTCCAGGGATGGACGGGGCATCCACAGCCTCTGTGGTCAGCTGTTCCAGCACCAACGGTCTGGTGCTGAATGGTTTGGGTTGAAAGGAACCTTTATGACCACCCAGTTCCAACCCCCTGCTATAGGCAGGGACCCCTCCCACCAGACCGGGTCGCTCACAGCCCCATCCATCCTGGCTTTGAATGTGCACAGGGAGAAGGCATCCACAACCTCTGCCCATGTCTCACTGCCCTCACAGTACAGATTTTCCTCCTGATATTTGCTCCAAAGCGACTCTCTTCCGGTTTGAAACCATTTCCCCTCACCCTGTCGCTACCTGCCCTTATGAGAACCCCCTCCCCAGCCGTCCTGCAGGAACCACAAACCAGTAACGGAGCTGCAAACGAAACCAAGAGCTCCGACAGCAAACGTCACCCCAAAGAAACAGCGCTGGGCTCGGGAACACCCCCTACAAAACGGCCCTTGCTCAGCACGGCCGGCTGCCCCTCACCGCCGGGCGGCAGCAGCAGCAGCAGCAGCGCTGCCCGCATCACCCGCAGCCCCAACGCCATGGCTGCGCTGCGGGGCGGTGCTGCCCGTTGTGCGCATGCGCACAGCAGCTGCAGGGCATGGCGTTGGGGAGCTGCGGCTGGGAGCAGCACCGCGTGCTTCGCCCTCTGGACCTTCAGAGAGGCACGGAGTTATTGCAGAGCCCCTTTGATATTGGATCAGATCCCCCTAGGCTGCTTTCCCCCAGGTTGAACAGAGCGAGATCGTTCAGCCTTCCCGCAGCGGGAGATGCTCTGTGTATCTTTGTATCCATCCTCTGCGTTCCTTCCTGGATAGCCTGGACTGTTTTGAACCGGGGAGCCCAGAATTGGGCACAGGATTGTAAATGTGGCCTCAGCAGGGCAGAGCAGAGGGGAGGATCGCCTCCCCCAGTGGTACCGACTATCCTGAGATTAACAGCTCCTTTAGGAAATGGGTGGCTGCAACCCTGTCAAGCCAAGCGTGGTCCAGTGCAGCAATAACCTGGCTCCTGACCCGTGGCTGCACGCTAAGGAAGAGAACAAAGGGATTTTGAGCCAAGAAGGGGAAGTGCAGAGAACTGGGATGGCTTTTTCCTGCTGTTGCAACAGCATTCCCCAAATGTCATCAGACATCCAAGTGATGGGGACTGAATGGTTAAACAGACAACACATCTGGAACGAGGAGTGAGTCCCTGACAGTTTAAACACTCACTAGAAGGCGTTCATGCAGAGCACCGTGGAGGATTTTCCTTTCCACAGGCACAAAGTTGGCACCTTTCTGGGAAGGCCCACATTAAGATGCTGTATTACAAAGCTCTGCACCTTTCCTGTGCCCTTTGTAAAGAAGTCACATCACCTGTTCCACTTGAATGGCATTTTTCAGCAGGTGGGGCATGACACAGTGGGCAGCAATAGGAAGGACTGTGCAGAAATGCAAGCAACCTATGGGCAGCCTTAGATGGGACAGGGGGAAAAGATGGTATCATGGAAATGAGCAGTTACCTGCAGTGGGCACTGAGATGTCAATGGTGAGACAGGAGAGATGAGGGGCATCCCCAAAGTTCGGTCCAGAGGAACTGGAACATGTGAGAACAGCCATTCTCCAGGCAGCAACAGCTGCAGTGGGATCCTTTGGCAGAGAATGCCAGGCCTGTGTTGCCTGAGGAAAAACGGCCTGTGAGCATTTATATTTAAAGAACAGTGGGAATAAAATCAAGGAGACATTAGTAGGAACTGACAGGAAAAGAAAAGCACTCTGTGGGTGCTGGAAAAATGCAATCTGTGCTGAAACCCAGCTGTGCAGACACAGTGAGCCAATGCTCTGCTGCTCCCATTGCGTGGCCATTGCTGGGCTCAGAAGGAAATCCTCTAGAGGGAGTCAGAAAATTGTTTAAAGGATTTTCTTCTCCCTTTCAGTCTGATGGTATCAAAAGACCAAGAGGCCATGAGGTATTCCACAAAGAAAAACAGTAATTAAAGAACTTCATTAGAGGAGGAATATTTAGAGCACAGCAGAGGCACCAGGCTGGGAGCAAACACGCACTGCAAGGCGGGTGCTGGTGCAGTGAACTGCAGACCAAAGGAGAATCTGCCTCTCCTAGGGACTTCAAAGTAAGCCATTTTCACCTGTCAAGAGATTGTTGGAGATCCAGGCAAGCCAAGGAGATCCAAGGAGCTTTGGGGCTGGAGGCTCAGCAGGCAGCAAGCCAAGGTCAGCAGCAGCACAGCTGTAGGATTTGCCATGCTGGGCTGCCTGCATCAGCACTTGGGGTTCCTGGGGCAGCCCCAGATATTTGGGCACTGTATTATGTTATTGCATAACAGTACGGCCCAGTGTGACACCATTGATTGGTTGTGGAAGGATTCCAAGTAATTTTAAATGGGAAAGTGAATCGACGCCCCATAAGAAATGCTGCCACTGAAAATCATAGGGGAAATGTCACACCTTCTTTCCTCAGAAGTTATCAGCCGTTTCATTATAACCAGAATTCACTATCCACAGTCTGACCAGCTGCTTTTAACCTATTACAGACTTGCAGCTGTGAGCTCAGTATCACTCTGCAGCTGTTTACCTCACCTGAGCAGCCCCGTGAAAATCAATGGCAACACACATGCCTTAGAACAGGAATTCTGTTCCAGGAGAGTTCTAATTAAGATCCTGCTACCAGCAAAGCAGCTGGAGGGAAGGTGGCACAGGACAGGGCTTTTAAGATGCATTCCTCTCAAAATTTTCTGTGAAAATAAAAGTTGTCTTTGTTGAGAGTTGGTGGCACAGGCTCTGGCTTACCTGAACCTTTCCTGTTCAGTTAAATTAAAACAACTAATTATTCCTTTTAGGACAAGTAGCGGAGTTGAATCAGCCACAGCCAGGTGGTAGCAGCACAAGAGTACTTACAGCTGTAGTGCATGGGATTGATTGGAAACTGGATGCAGAAGGCCAACTTTGATGCTTGATGCTGGCAGTGCCACTACAGTACACTTGAAACAATCTCTGAATGGCTGCCAAGCACGCTTCTTTCTTGACATCCAGAGCCCTCTATTCTCACAGTCCAGAAAAGAATAACCAAAGCACCTCAAAAACTCTCTACTCCCACTTTTTCCTGAAGTGCCTCATGCCATCTCCTTGGTTTCCTCTTAAGGAAAGCAGAACAACGATACACCTTGCAGAGCACATCTCACCTTTGTACTACCATATAAGTAGCAAAAGTAAAGGTCTGTCTGTGCACAGGTTTTGTACTGACGCAACCGAGTTTATCTGAAAACAAACCCAGTTCATTCATTAAACTTGCCTGTATTGGTGTCATTACATTTGTACAAAGATAGTTCATAAAAGCACAACTACTATGCCTAAATGCATGCACAGTTGGGCACGTTTTCCTAAATAGTATGCTAGGTCTACAGAAGATTTAGAAATCTTTGGACAACACAGCCCACAGAACACACACAAGAAACTCTGCTCGAAGAAAATTACAAATTCATTTATTTATTTTAGGAGGAAGGGACTAAAAGATTCCAAAGTGTGCTACGTCCCTGATTTCCCACCCACTGGTCCTTCCTTGCTCTCCTCCCACTCTGAGGTCTGCATTTGAGCCAACGAAAAGCAATGCAACAGACAATTAGCCTTGGTTCCCTGGGTATATTAGAGCATCTGAAGGGAAATTAGGCAAATAACCACTTTTAATTCAGAAGCCTAACTCAATTTTAATACTGAAGGAGTATAACTTACTTCCAGTTCCACCAGTTCTCCCAGAACCTCCACCCTATTAAACCTGCCCAGCAAGGTAATGAGTGACAACACACCTCCCCAGTGAAATGCAAGGTAAAAAAAAAGACACTTTATCATTGGCATATTCATTGACAGAACATTCTTAAGAGGATGTCACAGCCTGCTGAGGAGCCCAGGAGCTGATCAGTGCCTCTTTATGTCACACATACACCCCTTTGGGGGACAAGGGGCCACAAGACACACCTGGAGAAGCCTCAGCATGCAGCAGCACTCACTGCTCCATCACTTTGTTCCTTCCTTCTGCTTGCAGCTGAGTGCTACACCAGGTGCTCCTCAATTCTCAGACCTGTTGCACCTCTTTGTGTTAAAGATCAGCACCAGAGGAATGGCAAAGTTGTAGAAAGTGGGATTGCTGTTACCTATCTCTACCTCTGCAGTTTCTAATAGTGGCATTACAAAGCAGAAAGTTAGTTTCTTGTGCTGAGGAAATGCATACGCAAATCGTGGTGCACTGCTGAAGAGAAATTTCAGAGCAAAAATCCTAGGGATATATCTTTTAAACATTATTTTATATCAATGAGACAGACTGAAGATCTGTCTGAACTGAAAAACAGTTCTTCCATCCAAACTTCACAGCACTCAAACACATCCTGGTCCAAGCACTCAAATACCTCCTGGTCCAAGCTGGTACACACTAAGGATTTTACCTTATTCTCAATTCCTCCAACTTGTTAAAATCAAGTACAGCAAGCAAAACTTATGCTGTACACCATGCATAGTCCCCAGGGTTAATACAAATTGAAGTCTGTTTGGCGATATATATTTACTAAATTCATGGAAGACCAACAAATCTGGTTTCTAGAAATCCAGAGATGCAGAATTCCAGAGCCAGAAACAGAAGATAAGATCCTGGAAACAGCAGTGGATATGCTAACAAAGTGCTGCCACAACACGTGTTTGTTGGGCAACAAGTTAAAAGCACTTTAACATCAGTGACGTCCCCATACAGTCATCTACACAAAGATGAGAGTACTGTGTTGTTGGTTTTGGACTATCTGACTATGCACGTTAGGCAACAGTTCCATTTTAGGGCTCAGTTACAGCTACATTAACAGCCGAGTCAGATCTACTTACCTTGAAACAAGAAGAAATATGGATAAAACAATGTGACACTTAATGCTGACCAAATACACATTTAGTGTTTGCTACTCTACCTTAAAAGGATAAGACATGTACTCATCCTTATTAGTGAACAAATTAAGCAGCAGGTACGATTATTACTACGTCAGAAGAAGAAATGCTCTACAACAGCAGGCAGTGCTGGGTTAACCCCAAAGTTGTTCTTCCCATCCGAATCACCAAACATCCAGCTTCTGCTCCGCTATTACAAGGCATTGCCTGCAATCCCAGCAATGAAATAAAAAGACCAGGGGGCCTCAATAGCCAGCAGGTGGTTGGATCTGCCTCCCTCATTTGACCGTTTGCCCAGCATTTACCTCACAACAGCAGCACATGTTTTCCTGACCTCGGGTTTGATCTGAGCAAACAACAGATCAGGGAGAGCAGGCAGCAGTGCAAGAGGATAGCAGGACCCCACTCACAGCCCCTCTGGAGCACCACGATTCCATAGACTGCAGTTATACTCAGATTATTTTACTTTGCCTGTTCAGTAGTGCAGGCCTTTCATCGCTGTTTGAGGTTCTGAATAGGATGCCCTAGTTAATTCAAATCCTTCTGCACCTCCTTTATTGCCTTTTCTCTTCTCTTTGTTGGAGTTCATTTAATCAAACATGATACTCCATGATTCTAAGATGGATTTGTGATAGAAGCCCTTTGCAGAAGTGTGTGTATTATCCAAGCAGCACCTCGCTTCGCTTAAATTCATTTCCTACTCCTAGTTGTAAGTTGCACCCATGCTTCCTTTGCAGTCAGAGAAGACAAGTATTTACAGAAGGAAGAGGAAAGCTGGCACAAGCTGAAGATTCTAAGATGAGATCAAGGGGAAAAGGTTTTGTTGGTGTTTGTGAGAACTATTAATTGCTGAGCCACTGTCTTCACTATAGAGGAAGAAAAATCCCCCTCTAGTATTCATCTAAGCCAGTAAATATCATGCTAGAATCCCCCCCCTTTTTTTTTCCAACCTCAGAGAATTAAAAGTGATTGATTTCTATCACAATAACAAGTACTTTCCTTGCACTGACTTCCCCTGTACACCAGACCTTACCTTCAGTAACCCGTATGCAGAAATGCACTGTCTGAAACTTCGTTTTGTTGGTTTTTTTAAAGCTCATAGACACACTACTGAATACAAATAGAATACAAACACTCAAGTCATTTTTCTTCTCCTCTGTATAATCATTTATCCCGAACTTCTGAGTGGATTAGGTTCAGGCACAGTAAAACAAGCCCAGCATACACAGCAGCTTGGTTTGCTTGGTCACTGTGAGTGAGGACACACATTGGAATGCAGTTCCACATACCTGCACATGCTAATTCAGCCTTTTTGTATTCCAGAACTTGATTCTGTCCAGGTGAACACCCACCTTTCTTTACAAACACGCATTCTCATCCACACTTGCTATACTTTCTAGTTAAGATATCCCACAGCTGCCAACAGACACTTTTGGCATTTATTTTCATTCAAATTAACTGTCAGTTTTGAACACCAACTTGACTCCTAAACCTGCCTTGTAGGAAACAGACAGCAACCACAGCACTTGCACAAACAGCATTTCAAAATGCAACTCTTACTTGTTTTGCCCATACTGCTCTATTTTCCAAAGCTCTTAACTAGCAGAAGTTGAAGCGTTAATAAACACAGACATTCATTTCCTATGGGTTTCCATTCATAAGGCCATCCGAGATAGGAAAGCAAATATTTAAGGAACAATGACAGAAACAGAATGTTTTTAAGACGACTGTGAAAACAGCAGAAGCGGATGGAAGAAAACAAACAAGGTTCCATCATTTGTGGCTTTCAAGAAAGGAGCTATTCATGAAGTATGGAGAAAAGAAAGAAAAATGTATTTTATTCCCATCCTCTTGGGACTTTTAAATATCACCATATATAGCAAGCTCTGGGAATTTTCAAAGAGAAATGCAGCACATGAGCAGTAATAATGTTGGAAGCCTCTGACTATTTCCCTAGCTCATCTCCCACCACCCATTCCATGTAAAGATCTGTGCTTTGCACTTCATTCAGAGGACTCACAGCATGCTGAGGCACTTTGTACAGCTGCTATCTGAAAAAATCTGACCCCACAACAAATGATACTATAAGAGAAAGCTCAATTATCAAAACTTTATTTCAGCATTGTATGCTCAACAGTGTGCTCTGCATATCTGACTAAGCAGCCAATTTGCTGCTAGGTAAGCAAAGAATTTCTGATCCTGTTTGTACAATGCTGAACTCTAGCACACGAGGGTGAACTGTGAATACTGTGAAACTCAATTGATTAAATCACTAGCTGTTTTTAGTAATAGCATTTCTGTTAAGAGAAAGTGCTTCCATTTACTCAACTGTTTATCCAGCTTAAGCTGAAGTGGGAAAACACATCCTGCATGGAGAAAAACAAACATATATGGCCTAACCAGCCTGCTTCTTTTTGGAGAGAAGTTTTTATGTTTAGCAGATGAAAAATCCTTTTGGAATATTCAATATTTAAAATCTGCTACTTAGTCTGAGGCTTGCTTTTGTCATATTTAAAAGGAAAGGAAAATAACATGTCATTTTCAAAGGCCTAGAATAGTAATACTGCACTCAGTACAGATAGTGATTAATTATAAGAAATTCTTCTATTCAGATCTTTCTCCATTTCCTCCAGTATTGTTTTTATCAGTCTGAGAATCCTGGTGAGGTTTTGCTTGGCCTGGAATTGGCAGAGCATACTCCTCAACTGCCTGAGCACTGAGTTGCATGGATGGCAAGGACAGATTTCAGCCACTTGGCCTGCAGACTCTTCAAAGCATCTGATACAGTTAGACTTGTTTATGTTGTCTCTAAAATTGAAGATTCAGCAATTAAACTGGGATCCCTCACATTGTGAATGAAGGCCAGGATGAGATAGTTAAGAAAAATGAGTAAATATCTAATTATTCTTGCTAGCAAGGAACAAGTCCAGAGAAGAACAACTAATGTTACATTTGTAATGGATGCTATCACAGACACAAGTGCTTCACTTTTGCTCAGGTTCCCAAAAGTGGAAGTTGAAAAAGGATAAAATTCCTCCTCCTACATACACTACCTGAGGGACAAATGTCAGAGAAGTAATGGTTTTTGAAATAACAGATAATGCTGCTGCAAGGATAAATCCAAAACATTATGAAAAAAAAGTCAGATGCCTTACATCCCACCACGGACTTCCGGACAGCCTCAGCATCTTTTCCAGTTGTGTTTCCAGCCCAAAGCCATGCAGTTTCCTCATGCCAATCAGATAGTTTGGCATTGACATATTGACCACCCAGACTCAGATCCTCATTGAGAACTACCTCCAACTTACTTATTATTGCTGCCACTTGCACCACAAATGCCAGACAAAAAGAACACGGCAGGAAAAAAAGAGAAATTACAGGTGTGCATGAGTCAGTGGTTATTTTTTCAGTTTGACAGCAGCACTGCACTATGTAGGGAACAAAGACATACATAAGCTAGATCTCATTGGAGTAGAACACCCAGCTTTGAATGCTGTGCCCTAAGACTGCCTCACACAGGCTACAGCCAGAAAGCCAGTCAGAGCAACTGCCTGTTCAGAAAACAACATGCAGGGAGAGATGGGAGAAACCGAGGTGGCTGCCCTGACAAAGAGACCACAAAATCTGTAAGTACTTTCAACTAAATATTAACAATACCAAAAGGAAACGCCTTTTTCCCATTCATCACCCATATGAAAAGAAATGGAAGATTCAGGTCAGACAGTATGACGAGCAAGGACAGCAAGGTAATGGCACAAATTACTGGGGAGCAGAAATTCCATTATCAGGGACCTCCAAGAGCAGCCCACACAAACATCTGCTCAGAACACAGAGGAACACTGTGGCTGACCCTGCCCTGAATGGAATTATAGATCAGTTCACTCTCCATACTTGCCAGTCACTGTCTGACTTTTTCATGTTCCATCGCTATTTGTTTTACTATTATGTCTATCAAGTCCAACCTCTGAGTCACGCCAGGTCCTGGGGCAGAATAAACACGTGTGAGAAATTCCACAAGAGACACAGGAATGTAACACAGGAGATAACAGCAGAATAGACAGGTAGGAATATCCAAGGAAACAGCAAGACAGCACTGAGCAGTCCCAGCTGCATGGAAGGAGATAACCAAGGACATCTGCAATCGTTACAGTAAAGTAAGGGTTGCTTAGGAGAAGAGGCTGTTTGTGTGATATTCTCTCATATGAAAATAATGATCTTAAATGCAACAAACAGACAACAGAGGCTGGCACGCTGCAATCTAGGACAAGAAAGGGCTGCACTATCAAACCACTACCCTGCACAACACCACTCTGCATGGAGTAAATATGTCATGTTAGGGAAAACAATGCTGGAAGGAGTGATTAATTAGACACTAAAACATTGCAGAAGTTTTACATGTGCAGATGGCCAAGGAACTCATCTCTAAAATTTCACATAGAAATATGGAAGTCTAGACAACCCTAGGAAGGTTTAGAGAGTCTTATTTCAGACGATGCCTGATTTGAATTTGCATGATAAGCAAATAAGGCTGTTTCATCTGCTGTGCCTGAGACAGTGATGAAGTAGGACTGGCAGAGGAAGATGAGAATCTCTGCTTTAATTACGTGATGCATGAGCTGATGCTTCATTTACACAGACAACATAAGATTTTAACTTCTGACAGAAAACAGAGCTAGGTAACACCAGATGATGCTGGTAAGACCATTGGTTTCATGCTCATTCAAAAATGAGGGACATGAGATGAACAATTCTAGTCTCCCATCATCTACAGAAAACCTAAAGAGGGACAAACATGGTCAAGAGAGAAGTAGGAAGGTGCAGAAAAAAACCTGGTGACAACCAGTCACAGTACCATTGGAAAACAGGTCTAAGAACATGGTTGCTTGTGGCAGAAGCAAGATAACCAAGGAAACTTCTGCTTCTTGGCTCTCATACTGTGGAGTAAACTTATTTTTATTTTTTTCTTGGCTTTGCACTCGATTGTACATTGCAGACTGACAGGTGTAGATTCAAAAAAAGCAGACAGCATAACCCTTCCTGCTCTGAGATAAAGTAGAGTTTTTTACTTGAACATCACTACAGTCAAGCTGTGAATCACAACCTCAAATGATTCATCAGAAACATCATCTGCAAGTGGATATTACAAGATCATCTGTCTCAAGACAGACTGGATGACCAACTCAATTCACCAAATTAGCAATACATTACATGTTAATGCCTAACATTCAGCAGGTTTGCCCACAGGAAGCACACTTTCTCGTATTCCACTGGATTGTGTTCACCTCCAATTCGATAAGGGGCTGAGGCACCACAGAAGCATCAAGTAGAAAATGGGGTGCATGCCAGTAAGTTTTAAAATGCAATACATCCTTCTGGAGGGCTGAGGACAAGACAATCATATCAGCATTTATATATTCCTACACAATTACAGCAAAATCTTTTGTTCAGATTGCAGAACTCAGCTGTGTCAATTGAATCGCTCTGATTGAACTAATTGAATTTCAATTGCTCAAGTCTGGTTTTGAACAGTTTTGTATGACATTCAAAAGACTGAAGACTTCATTTATAAATGGAAGTGTGTGTGGGGAGGGACAACGAATGATTTGGCTGTTACCCAAAAACTAATAAATGTGTAATATATTTCACTGGAGAAGCACACTGAGGTTTATCTTTCTCTGAAGGCCTCCATTTCAGTGCTGCATGAAATGTTCCCTGGGTTGGGGTACCTTCCCATGGGGAAGGAGGTAGGGACCCTCACCCCAGCATCGACTGAAGTAAAACTGCATGTTACTTGCCTAAGTCCTGCCTCACCCCTGTAGCCACCACTGCTTCAGCAGACTTGAAGCACAGCTGAATTACAGCTTCAGAGGACACAGAGTGCACACTCCTCATAAAACCACTGCTTTTGTTGATCAGACTCCCATGAGCACCTAGAAAGGAAAATGCCATAGTATGACCACCAGAAATTCTCAAATATTTCCAGAAAAACATATGTTTAATTAAGCTTTATTTAAATGCCAGGCTAGATCTCATGGCTGATGTCTGTCAGCAGCTTCTGTGCAAATCTGTTGATTGCTCTTTATCCTCACTGCAGAAATGGAACTGTAAGTGGCTCACAAGCCAAAATCAAAATGTTCATGAAGCCAATGGCAACAATTCCATCAACAATCCAAGCCAGGCCACCACACCTGGTACCTGTTCAGCCTCCTCTACAGCACCAATTTATTCTACTTATTTCAGTTAAATACTTCCCCTTTAACGGCATTTGTGGTGCAGACCTATAAGAATCCTGCCCTGTAAGTTTCAAACAACACCCTTTTACTTTAAAATTAACTGTTGATAACTTCCAGGCTAAAGAGCTTACTTCCTTCCCTTTCACTCTCCCTTTGAACAAAGACAACACCCACATATTCAAGCACAAGTCTTCAATTTGTTAAATTTTCATTTTCTTCCTGAATGTCTTAAGAGCAGCTGCATCTATTTCTGTAACTGGGCATGAAAATGGCAGAAGGCACACAGCATATGCAAAGACCAGCCTGCACGACCAAGCAGCACCAAGCACTTTCAGATGGATAGGAAATTTGTGGTCTGTTCAGATTAGGATAATATATACCCAGGTTTCCCACGTGATGTGCACATCACTTACCTCATCTCAATTTACTCATCTCTAAAACAGACTCAGTTCTTCCTCCTACTTTGTACATCTCACAGGTATTACTCAGTTATCAATCCATCGGTCAGATTTCCCTCTCCCTCAATGGCATTTTGTACCAGTAAAAACTGCAAAATCCTGTCTTACCCAGGGAGCTGGGTAAAACAAGAGTTTCATATCCCATTACCACCTATGATTTACCCTGGAGTTGAATTATTTATTTAACTAGGCAAAAAAGCAGTGGGCACGTCACACTACTCTACACATTAGCCAAAAAAAAAAAAACCCAATCAAAACACTAAAAGACACTCAAAACCTGCTCTAGTTTTTGGTCAGCCCTAAGATGGCAATGTGAGTGGACATGATTACCTTTGTAGGCCCCTTCCAATTGAAGGAGTCCATTTGCTAACCTCCTTTGGAGACTGTATCCATGAGTATCTAATTGTTGAGAAGAGGGAAGAGTCAGCTCTGAGATGAACACACCTTCTTTTGTAACATCTAAAATAGTATTTTTCATTTTAAAACTAGAACTATTTTTAATTCATAGGCTTTAAATGAAGATTTTAATTTTTAAAACAATCAGTTCTCACCCGGCTTATCATATTAGAAAAAGGCTCAAAGATGCCATGGGAAAAGGACTGAACTACCATTCTCAGGCTTGAGATTTTTGTTATTAAAACAAAAAAAAACCAACCAACTGTGATCTCCAAGCAAACTGAGAATCTTAGTATTTAATGGCATTTTCAAAAATGTTATGCAACTGTCATTCCATAAATTAACAGCTACATATGACAAAGACAATATGCAATGCAACTTTCATAAAAGGTGACTTTATTAGCGCTGAGCCCTAGTATACACATATACACATGCTGGACACATAAGCCACAGAACTACACTACTTACTGTCACTCAGGTTGCAGTCAGCAGGTGCTTGGGATGAGCACAGGGTCTCTTGCTGCACAAGGAGAAACTCTGCAGTGTTATTTTAGGACTCATCTTTGTGCCTGGATTGAAGCCTGTGGAACTCGTACCCTCAGTCAACAGGGACAATGAAGAATGATTTCAGGATGTTTTCATAAATTAGCTAACAACCTTTGATAGCTTTGGATGCAGGAACTTGTGACTCTTGAATTGAGCCATAAACACCATTGCTGAAGAATGCCAAACAAACTTGAGGGAGGCACGTTATTAAGAACAGGAGATGGAATTGAAAGAAATGAAATCAAAGGTAAGTAAAAGGTTGAAAAAGAGCAAGAAACTCTTTGAAGAGGATAAGGAAGACAAAGAAATTAGGAACACCGTGTGTGTATGTATTTATGGTTGTATTACACTTAGAACAGGTAGCTAAGCACTCTCTTAAATAGGACAAAATGACTATTTCTACTGCACGGGTGAAATGTTAGGAGATGTAATGCAGATGTTGGGGCTAGGCAGTTAAAAAGATTGCTCTGACAGTAAATATCAGAGTCCCTGAATTCTAGGAAATTCTGCTGTCTTTGATGCGAGACTGATGTAAGACTTTTGGCAATCCACTTCAATTTTAAATGCAAATTGCATTTGTGGAGAGCCAGAGAAGCGAGTTCTGATGATGCACATTAGTGACAGAAGATAACATTTTGTGGTTAGTATTTCAAAATTCCCTTCACTCTCCAGTGAAAGCTTTTCCTCACTTGGTCTAGCCATTTACACGAGAAAGAAGTCTGGGTTCAGCAGAACATTCCTTCCCACTCTTCTGCCCCAATGCTTCAAGAGCTCCACACTCCAAATTCCACTCTGGGTCAAGTCTGAAACGTGTCACTTGGCTTAAATGGAAACAAACACCAAACCACAGGTCAGAGGCTTCAGATATTACAGAATGACAGTTAGAAAGTTCCATCACAGCAAAAAGTTTAAAACCTCATTTAACAGAACACTGAAACACATAAATTTATTACAGAAATAAAACCTCATGTGTTGAAAACGTTAAAACTGAAGGTGTTCACGTCCTTGGTTTTCCCTGCCTGAATTTGACAGGTTTTACTCATTATCAGATTAATTCAAACCCTCTGTATCACTACTCTTTTACTATTCTTTACAGAAAACACAAAACAAAAACTCTGCCACTTCAAATTCCAGAGTTTTTCCTCAGCCTAAACACCTCAGGAAATCCTATGATGGTTTTATGTCAATTTGAAACCTAGCAGAAACTGCTCCACTCACATACAGCAGTCTGGAGTTGGCACTGCTGCTGCCATCGTTATCACTTACACTGTGACCAGCGAGCACGGGCCATGACAGGCTTTTTTAGCACTGGCACAGGGTACTACAGCAGCTGCACTGCTAATTACACCAGTCACTGTGCCCCATGAATCACATTCCTCTTCAAGTCCCCTGCCCAAGAACTGTCCTCACTTTCATCTTTGCTACTTAAACTGTCATACCCAAAAGCTCTCGCATCCACCGGAGTAAATTTTGCACAGTACTCTCTTTCTACCATAGATGCTTCCTATTTTGACTCTGAGAAATACACTATGTTGATCTGGGATACTTCTGCTAAATTAAAACCTAATCATACTGTAAAGCATAAAAACTACAAGCGCGTTTCTTTTTTTCCTCCTACTGAATAGAGTAGAACTTGTCAAATGCTCCTGAAGTTTTCATAAAGCCCCAGCAGAACAGCAAGGCTCCTTTAGCTCCAATTGCACTCACAGTCCTGGTGTGCAGGCCTCGTAAATACCAGCATCATGGTCTTCATGCTTTAGGTTACCCAAATGGTTGCTGTAAAAAAAAAAAAAAAAAAAATCAAACAAAAACTTTGTTTATTCTGAAGTACACAGATACAGGCTTAAGTAAAAAAACTGGATTTTCTACTTTCAGTAGAATTCTGCAGATCTCTTGTCATCTTCAGGAACCTTCCTGCAGACTCTTTAATAAGCTTCAGTGTAAACTGTTTCACTTCATTTTCTACTTAAGTTACAAAATGTATTTTATTTGAATATTAATACTTCAACTTCTTAAACTCTTTGTACCATGAGTTGCCATTTTTTCCCCACCTCTGATTTTGTTTAATCCCACCACACTACAGCTGAGTTCATCAGGTTTTGCAAAGGAGTTTTGTCACACTTTTGCAAGAATCTCTGAGGCTCTTTTCCTGCTTCTGTGTTAACCCACACACAGTTCTTTGACTGCCTAGAAATATACATTCTCTATTCCTCCTTACACAGGTCTAACAAGTCACTGCTTTTTGGGTTTTCACAAGCCTGAAGAAAGCTGCACAGCCTGCTCATTTGACTCAGAGCCATGCTATTCCTTCACTTTATATACACATTTTCCCCTTCCAAATAATTCTGAAAGTCTATCTAATGTTTTTAGTTCACAACATCGACCTAATCCCTGAGATTTTATAAGAGTTTTTAAGTTGGTAATGCACAGGACAGCTTTTAAAAGGAAGACCAACGGCCATACAATGGCTAAATGCTTATTTACAAAATAGGTAGCACATGCACAGAAAGTGGAACCACTGCCCTCCACAGTTATTTGTTGAGCCCTGCACAGGGATCTTCCTCAAAGCAAACAAAACATGAACAAAACCACTTATCTGTAATAATATCAGCCTACCTTCATAACAGAATGTTCAATGCTTCAGAAAATAAACAAATAAAGAATAGCTTGGTCACCTGTCAAATGCTGAAGGATACACTTAAATACTTCTAAGCACTGTCACAAGAAGGACAACATGCAGTACATCTGCTGCTAAATACACCTGCAAAACTCAGCTAAGCCCTCTCTTATAAGCACAGCAGTAACAACAACTGGTTTGCGCAAGAAGAAAAAAAAACAACGCATTTGGCAACCAGAGACTGGGGACCAACGGCTGCAGAAAGTGGTTTTAAAAACTAGCGTCAAACTTATGGAAGGTGGCAGGCTGACGGGTAAGTGCTGATCAGGCTATCACTGCAAACAGCAGAAATGGGTGACTCTTGATTTCTTTCCTTGTTTTGCTAAACATGAATTTCCAGGCTCTGCTGGTATGCCAGATACTGTGCAAATAAAAGGGAGATAACACTACGCTGAACAATTGGGGAACAAAACAAGTTTTGAGACATACCAGAAGTATCCACCTCCTCTAGTTGGGCACCTTAAAACAACTACTTCCCATTAAGTATGTCACTTTTTTTTTTTTTTACTTCTTCTCTCCTACTTGAAACAGTGTTAGACAGAATTTTGTGACACAAACATGCAGTACTTGCAAATGATAAATGCAGAAATCAACAGGAATCACTCGTCTGCCAGGAGCTATACAGTCACAGAGTCAGCACTGAAAGATACTTTGTTTTAATATAATTCTCCCTTGAGTTAGGCAAGCTAAAAAAGGCAAATAATAGGAGACAAAAACCCTTCTGGGTTTAAGCTTCACTCTGCTTGCACCTCACTAACCACTATCAGGAGAGATTTAAGTAACTGAACAAGTAACAAGGCACAAAACCAACACCCAAGCCTCTTACAATGGCAGTTAGCTTTGATGCTCTGCAACCAACACCTTGAGGGCTTCATTTACTTTTTCTATCTACAGTACTCCCATACTGAGTGTCTCAAAGCATAAGTCTGTGTTGTCAGAACATATAGATTGTTTTCCAATGCTGGCTTTCACCCTTTTTTCTCCAGAACTCCTGGGTACCAGTGATCAATACTGTTCTTACTTCCTGCTCATGACCAACCTTCCAGCTACACTGGAGGGGTGGAGAAGTGAGGGCAGGAAGAGGGACAACTCGCAAACAGAATTTTCTCTTTCCAGTTTTTGTATTTACATACACAGAAACGACTGAGGAAGACGTTACACAAACATGAAGGAACGCACTGTATAGATGCAGCAGGGACAAGCCAGATACCAGTAGGTCTACAAAGGAGTATTATAAGACAGAAAACAATCAGCAGCTCATTTCAACAAATGCTCAGCTACTCAGTAAGCTTACGGACATGGGAAATCCTCCTGCTGCTTTTCATATAAAACTTATGTTAAAGTAAGGCTATAGCACTTCACATTAAAAAAAGGGGAAGAGATGTGCATAGCAAAATAAGAATTTGGGATGAAATCACCTAATTGCAGTCACGCTAAATAACTTTTCAGTGTTAGATCAGAGAATACCGAGAAAATAATCATAAAGAAGCTTGTAAAAACGTAACTCAATAAAGCTTTAGCATCTTCCACAGTGAGTGCCTTTAGCATTTCAGATTTGGGCCAAAGATCCTGACACATGATCAGCTTCTACGTGCAAACCTGTACTTAGAATTTGTTGGTCTCATAATCAACAACAGATGACTTTCAGCACTGAAGGAATTGGTTAAATATATGAACCACGTTCAAAATCAAACAATAACTGCAGTGATTACTCACAACATCAACTTCTTTGTACTCGAACATTAAAAACCAGAAGGTACAGATAAGAACAGAATATCTTCATCTTCCAACAGGACACTGACCACAGGTCCTCACGACTACTTCCCACCACGGTGAGCTGAGCTCAGCCCAGTACTGCTGCCGAGCTCTGTTAAGGACTCTGACAAGACAGGATTCCATAGGTTTGTCAGCACACAGCATTTCCAATCAATGACATCTACAACAGATAGAGACAACTGTTTCCTTCATTGAAACACACAGTAAAAATTCCCCAGTTAAGGCTTAGCATTCCCGCACCAAAATGTAATTAATTTTCTCCTCTATTACAAAAACAGCAAATCTGAGTCTTTACTACACAATCATATCAATTTCTAAGCTAATTAATTTTTCTTATGCCCTAAATGTAACAAGCCAGTCACCAGGCATTGTTTGTTTTTAAGAAAAGCTATACTCTGCACAGTTACTCAGGATGCATGCACTGTTGTGAGAGGACACTTCAATATCTGATCCCCAGGATATTTCCATGCATTTTTAGTTCTCCCAACAATTTTCAAGTCTTCTAAAATCCATGCAACACAAGTAGCACGTGCTTGCACGGGGCAGAGAGAAACAATCAATATTTAAACTTTTCCTTTTGGTTTTGAACTTTGAATAAATTTCTCCCCGTGTTTTGAAGGGGAGCAGTTTATAATTTTAAAGAACACATTCTTATTTTCCAAGAAAGCAAAAAAAAAAAAGAAAAACTCTAGGTTCTCAGAAACTTATTTTTTCCTACGGTGATAGTTGATAGTTGTTATTACAATCAGAAGTCAGCATGGTGAACCAGCAATACAGAAATGTAACAGCAAAGGGACTAGTGCAGATGGAACAGGACTGCAAAGAGAAAGGAAAGGTGCTCACCCACCTCTGAAGATCTAGGCTCACAGGAAAGACTCTGCAAAGGAGGGATCTCCAACCAGAGATCCTTCCCCAGTGGGAGTCAGCCCTTAAATGAAGTCTAAGAGAGGTGCAGCCAGGCTCCACCCCTTCCTGTCTCACAGTTGAATTGCCTTCACCTGTGCTCCCAGGGCTGACCCAATCCTTTCCCCAGCTGCTCAATCAGTGCTTCAGGCCAGTACTCAAGGATTACCACACAAATATAGATGGTCTACTCTTCCAAAGATCTTCACCTGTCCCATTAAACCACATTCCGGACCGAGACCTCCTTGGTGAAACTTCAACCTAGGGGTCACCTTTGTTCACACCTGTAAAAGAGAATTTAAAACAGAGGTAAAATAAAGTTCACTTTAAGCCAGAAGTTTGAAAACTGCCAAATTTATATCCTAAAACACTGCTGTAGTAACTTTTAGCACGCTGAAACCAATGTTATCAAACAGTAAATAAAACAACTCATCCATGCTGCAGAGAAAGCAGAAATCCAATGCCTCTAACAGCTAAACTATAGAGAGACTCGTGCTGTAGAATCACAGAATGGCCTGGGTTGAAAAGAACCACAATGCCCATCCAGTTACAACCCCCTGCTATGTGCAGGGTAGCCAACCAGCAGACCAGGCTGCCCAGAGCCACATCCAGCCTGGCCTTGAATGCTTCCAGGGATGGGGCATCCACAACCTCCTTGGGCAACCTGTTCCAGTGCCTCACTGCCCTCTGTGTGAAAAACTTCCTGCTAATAATCCAACCTAAACCTCCCCTGTCTCAGTTATGTCACAGAACTGAGTTAAGGTTGGAAGGAACCTTAAAGATCATCCATTTCCAGTCCCTGGTGACCCCACCAGATCAGGCCGCCCAGGACCTCATCCAGCACAGCCTTGGGCACTGCAGGGATGGGACACCTACAGCTCTCTGCTCAGCATGTGCCAGCTTGACCTCACGGTCATCTGAAAGAAGAATTGCTTCCCAACGACTCCCCTCTTTAAGTTTAAAGCCATTTCTCCTTATCCTATCACACATTTTAAATAGTTACACCCCCTCCTGCTTATGAGCTCCTTTCAAGCACCGGAGGGCTGCAATAAGATCTCCCCACAGCCTTCATCACAAAAACACCAACCTGCTGCAAATAAAGAGAGCAGTGGAATTAAGGTTAGTTTGTTGTTTTTTTTTTTACCTTACACTGGATCCAGTTCTATCTCTGCCAGTTTGCTCAGTCCCACAGAACTCACACTGAGCTGCACCCACTGCAGCTCCTCCAAACAACACGGGTAAGATAAATACCCTACAAATGAAAATATGACGGTAACAGCAATTCTCACCTCTTGGTAACAAACACCAAACCACTCTCACAGCCTTTTCACCGCCTCCTGAGCACACAGGGAATCCCACCAAGGACCTCGCGCTGCTCACCTCTGCGTGCAGCAGGCCTCCAGCACGGCAGGGCCAGGCCGGACCCACCGCAGCCATCGAACCCTGCCAGGACATTTTTGGCACCTCGTTTCAGCAGCCCGCCTGGCCGAAGATACGGGAGAACGCGCCTCTTATTGGCAACGCGGGCCCTCGGCCGCACGGAGCCGGGCTTCATGCGACCCCTCCATTCACCGCAGCCGTCAGCAGCTCCGCAGCGCCTTTACACTGAGGAAACCGCCCGGCCCGGGCCTTCCCAGCACCGCCACCGCCTCCTCGACCGGACATCTCCGCACCCGCACCGCGCGGAGCCCCCAGCGCTTCCACCCCCCCCCCTCACAGCGGCGCCTCCTCCTCCCCTCACAGGGCGCCCCCTCCCCCGCCGGCCCCGCCCCGCCCCGCGCTCTTCCCGCCCATTCCCCCCCCACCCGCCGTCGGCCCGCGCGCCATTCCCCTCAGCCGCCCCTCCGCCGCCCCGCTCCGCACCTTTCCCTCCCTCCTGGCTGCGCGCCCCTTCCCCGGGCGGCTCCGGCTGTAAGCGCCGCTCCCCGCCCCTCGGCGCCTCCCCCAGGATCCGGCAGAGCGGCGGGGGGAGAGCGGTGAGGGGGGGAGCACAGCGCGCCCCAGCCCCACCGCGGAGCCGCGCCGCTCCTTCCCCATCAGCCACCAGCACGGAATGATCCTCCGCTCCCAGCCGGGCTGTCCCCCTGGCCGGCTGTGCCGCTCCCCTATTGGCTCCCACCGCGCCTCGCTCTCTCCTATTGGCTACAGCCAAGCGAAGAGGCGAGGCGATTGGCTGGATCAGCCGTCCATCAATCCGAAGCCCCCACCTCCGCAGTTATCAGGTTAGTGTTCGCCGCGGCGCTGGGGCTCGGGATTCCGAGCGGCGCTGGTTGAGCCCTCAAAGTCCCTCATTACCGCGCGGGCTGAGGGGGGGTCTGCGGCGGTGTCACCACACGGAGCGGAGCCGGGGACAGCGAGCGCCTCCCGCCAGCCGCGGCCATGGACATGAAGAAAAGGATCCACTTAGAGCTGCGGAACAGGACGCCCTCAGATGTAAGCAAAAAAAAAAAAAAAAAAAAAAAAAAAAAAAAAAAAAAAAGGCAGCTCATCTATCTATATTTTTTTTTATTATTTTTTTAAAGGGGAGGGGAGGAAGGGGGGGGAGTCGCCTTCACAGCTCCGTGCCCGAGGGCCGCGGGCCGGGCGCTGCCTCCTGCGTGGGGCGGGGGGGGCTGGGAGGTGGGGGGTCCTCACCTCGTACCGCGCACCTGGGGGGCGACCCCAGAGCGGGGCCGGGGGGGGGAACGGCCGGGTTGTGGCGCCGGGGGGGGGGAGGCGAGTTGTGCCGGGGGGGTCCGGAGCGCGGCGGGTGTGTGCGCGGCGGGCGGGCGCGGAGGCTGGGGAGCCATATTTGTAACTTTGTGGTGCTCATGAACGCGCCCTTTCTCTCTCCTCCTCTCTCCCTCCCGATGCTGAGCGGGGGAAAGGGGAAAAGGGCTCGGGGGAGCGCTCGCGTGGCGATGGGGGAGCGGGGAACGAAGGAGGGAAGCGATAATAAAAACAACGATTGCGAGGAAGAGAATGCGCTCCGCACCTCTCCATCCCCGCGCGCCGGGTGCGTGCGTGTGTGTGTGTGCGTGTGTGTGTTTTCCTCTTTTTTTTTTTTTTTTTTTTTTTTTTCTTAGCATTATTTTTAACCCCCGTCCCCGCACCTCGGGGCCGCGGTTCGGCCTCTCCCCGAGCAAAGCGGCCGAGAAACTTTGTCAGGACGAAAATAGTCGGCGCCCGGGGGGTGCCCCGAGGCGGGCGGGCCCCCAGCCCGAGCCCCGCTCCGAGGGTGGCGGCGGCGGCGGCGGGTTTCGAACCCGCGTCCCCGAGCGCGGCGCCCCCGGCCTCTCGCTGCGGCCGCGGAGGCTGAGGGCGGCGGTGGGGTCCGCGCCGAGGGCGGGGGGGAGCGCGGCTGAATGGAACGTACCTCTCGGGGAGGAGGGCGGAGGCGGATGGATGGATGGAAGCTGCTCTTTAAACTTTAAAAAGTCCTGGGCCGGGAGGAGGAGGAGGAGGGCGCGCGGCGCGGCCATCCCGCGGGGCTCGTTGCGTCCCCCGCGCGGGGGCACAAAGCGGGCGGATTGCCGAACCGCTCCCGGGGCCGTCTCCAGGCGCGGGCAGCGCAAGTAGGACGCGGCGCCATGTTTTTTTTTTTTGTTTTTTTTTTTTTTTCCTTTCCCCTCCCGAGCTCTGAGGGAGGAGGAGGAGGAGGAGGAAGCAGGGCGGTCGGGCCCTCCCCGCCGCTCCGCTGCTCCGCGCTCCCCTCCGCGCCGGGCGGGGGTTCCCCTCAGCCGGGGCCGCTTCGGAGCCGCTCGGCGGTGGCGGTTGGGGCGGTGGGAGGTGGGTGGGGGGGGGGGGGGGGGGGGGGGGGGGGGGGGGGGGGGGGGCAGCGCGGGGGTCTGTGCGCGCCATAGCGGAGCGCGGCCCTCCTCTCCTCTCCTCCCCTCAGGGGGCGCGGCGGGGGCGGCCGGGGCGCGGAGGGGCTCCTCCATGACGGACCGCCGCCGTCTGCCATTTTGTCGCCGCTGTCGCCGGGCGGGCGGAGGTTCCTGGCGGCGAGACGCGGCGGCGGGACGAGCGGAGGGTAAAGCGCGGCCTGCTCCTCTCCCACCCCCCTTCCCCTCCGGATTCACCTTTTTGGAGCGATTTTTTTTTCCCCTCTGGGGGTGTCGGGGCGGGCGGGGGATGGGCTTTGCGCCTTTGCGTAGCGCCCGGCTCGGCTTTGTTGTTTTTATTGTTACCGTCGTTATCTTGGAAGTGTTTGATGTCTTTACTTTGGGTTTTGTTTTTCTTTTTTCCGCGTTTATTTGTGTTTTTGCCTCTCTACCAGCGCTCGGGCTTAGATTCGGCGTTCTGTGTGGACTCAGCCTTGATCCCAAGCGTGCTGGGTGCGAGCTGGGCTCTGCCGTCACCCACAGCTGGGTCAGGTCCTGCTCCGGCTTAAAGAAAGTTCCCAGAGCCCACGTTGAGAGCTGCTTCAGTGCCCTGAGAGCCCCGGTTTGACAGTGGTTCAGTGCCCTGAGAGCCCCGGTTTGCCAGTGGCTCAGTGCTGCCCTGAGAGCCCCGGTTTGGTGCTGGTTCACTGCATAGAGAACCCCAACTCACCGCTGTGTTGTTCCCCCTCTGCAGCTCAGCAATCTGCACTGCTGTGAAATAATGCCTGTTTAACCTGACATGTCTTTTTTCTTTCTTTTTTTTTTTTTTTTATTAACCTCTTAACCTTTAATTGTATCGCTGCGTTCCTCTTCCCGAGGTAACAAATGAGATCACAATCCGTTCTGTAGGTAAACAGTTGCGCCTGCATACAAAGGGGAGCTGCCCTTTGGGAGTGCTGCTCTGTTTACAGTCACTCCTGCAGAACCATTGATCACAGATGCTTCCACGTGCTCTTGTGTTGTTGGGAGCTAAGGGTGCAGTTTGAACTCCGTTTCTAAAGTCTGCGTTAGAAGAAAATGCAGCTAAATCCAGCCAGTACTCCAGAGAAGACGTTTGAAGCTGAGTTTTAGTGTAAATATAATGCCAGGTGTCATTGATTCATGGATTTTAGTAAGATGTGGGGCATGAACAAGATGGTTCTGGACGTTGTGTTAATCTCTGCTCTGATAGGCAGACGGTGTTTCTTGTATGATCCGTGATGGATCATTATTTTCAAAGCTTTAAATGTAATGTAGATAAATCTTGGTGAGAACAAGGGCACAAATGGAAGTGTATTCACTTTTTCTCGGAGCTGTTACTGAATATGTGCTGAGGTTTGCAGTGCCTCTCACATTTGATTTATTTTGTTCTCAGAGCTTGCGGAATCAAAACTTTCTGTAAATCAAGCTTTGATAAGGGAATGTTGATAAGGTGTTTGAGCTCAGAAAGCCCCTGTTACTATCTTATGCTTTGGGCTAATACAGTTGTGTCAAATACTATGTAATACTTACAGCTAGCTACTTCAGTTGCTCAGTTACATAACCCTGCAAGGTTACATGTTAGCCAATAAAATGTGATATAAATGTCTCAAAGTGGATCCTATAGTAGCTATTTCTTCCTCAGACTGCTGCTGTGTTACATGAAGTCAGTGTTGGTGAGCAGTCTGGCGTTACAGTGCCTGAAATTGGGTGTTGTGTGTGTGTTGGTGAGAAATCCGTTTGTGGTGCCTGAAATCTGTTTTTCCTTGTTGTACGGCTAGAGCTGAGCTCTCACATCTACCTTGCAGGTATTTCCACTTTTTTTTTTAACCCATTATGTTGAATGGTTGCTTAGGGCAGTGCACATGCTGTGGCCTTTGACACTTTGCTGATCTTATCACTATCATCTTCTATTGTATTACGTAAGAGTGCCTACTAGAAATTGGTGAGATCCAACCATTTTATGTGGGTTTTCTTCAGGCCATCAGCCTGTAGTGGTGTAACTTCTGACCACAGGGAGCTGGGTGTGTTGGTGGATATTGCTGCTCGTTCCTATTGTCTGTAACCCAGCTCAGCTGTTCACACGGGCTGTGCAATGAGGTCAGTGTGAAGGGGGACTTCTCAGCCATGGGGCACAGAGGCAGTGTTTAGAAGTTATGCACAAAACTCATCTTTGGTGGCTTAGTGCTACCTATACCAGTTCACTTAATCTAAGGATTTAGTGCTGCTTTTGAGAGCTTTATCAGCACAAATTTATGGCAGTCATAAAGCACTGCCCACAACGTTGGGTATTTCTTACAGGTTTTTCTAACTTTCACTTTAAAACTTATTTGAATTGTGACTTCCCTCTAGTTTACTGTAGGTTTTAATGTTGAAGGGAATTACAGTGCAAGCGTCTACGTGAAGCATTCTCTCATATGAAAAATATAAATAAAAGAGCTCTTTTCTCAAGCTAGTTAGTTGGTGTGATGCTCACAATAACATCGCTTCAAAGACCTGCATTTGAAAAAGTTCTGGTATTGGAATTTGGTAAGTGGGTCAGGATACACACGTTTACTCATCCCCTGCTGAATAGCATACAAATGGAACAGGGATGTGCTGTAGGTTAGCAGCAGTGGGACAAGCTGGTTGCGCTGTAGTGTGCAGTGGTGTGCGACCAGCATGTAGAAACTCTGCTGAACGTACAGCTTAGCATGGATTTTTGCAGACTTGAATCACTTAACCACTTATGTAGCTGACAGCAGGGTGTAAATGTAACAAAGAGGTAGCTGAGGTTTTTTTTTTTTTTTTTTTTTTTGCCAGCTTCCTGGGTTTGTATAATAGCTGCTTTTAGAGGCTCTGAATTTTTAGATGCAAACCTCTGAAACCTGGCTGGATGGATGGGTGTTCTTCTTGCAGGAACTGCAGCCCACAGACATCAGGCTTGCAGGATGGGTGTGATGTGTGTGAGCTGTCCTCACTGAAATGTAGGCTAGCTTCTCAGCTGATGACTGGCAAATCCTCTTAACCTGGACCAAGTTTAAGCATGTGAGAGGAACTGTGAATATAAAATTAAAAATTAAAAGAAGAAGAAAAAAAAAACCACCACCTGATGGTATATAAACCTGATGGGAAGTTTCTTAGCATCAATCTCCTGGGGTGTAGGTGCTGTGGCTGAGTGAAGTGTAACTATTTTATCTGTCCTCGCAGCAAAATTTGTGCATTATATATCAATGGATTGAATCAGTGATGCGTTTTTAAATGTTCATTCAAATGGCGTCATAAATGCAGACCAGAAGGCTGGCGTTGAGTCCTTCTTCCCATTTTGTTTCTTCTATGGAGTGCTCTTTCCTCCTCACCATCCTCCTGACCTAAGGGTACAGGTGTTGTTCACTTTGAGAAGCCTGAAAAGAACTGAACCTGCAGAATCTGAGTAGGTGCTCTGTACTGAATGCTTCTAAGTGAAGTAAGGGTAGAGCAGGGCTGGTGCCCTAAAGAGCCAGGGATGGCAGCATGGTGTGCTGGGTTGCACTCAGCAGCCTTCATAGGCTGACAGCTCACCTGGATGGGCCCAGCATTGCTCTGTGACTGCTGCAGGTCTCAGAGGGGAGCAGGGTGCAGTTGTTTGTTGTG